GCTACAATACGGCTATTCGCAGTATCACCAGTCATCGCAGGACAGCCATATTACATTCCTTCGGTGTAGTTCGTGACGCATGCGCAGGACCACTATAAGTTTGGGGTCCACTTTATACAAGCTTGTACTAAGGGAGTTAGTAGTCTAGTAGTATATATAGAAGTCTGTGGTAGTAGTGCTTACTGCTTAGACAGTGTCCGCTTGGAATATTTGTAACCCATGTAGACAGTGGGATGTATACATGATAAAAATACAAGGGTATGCTCATCAATTGCTAAAACTCGTTCAGCTTGCGCATGTCCTTGCCTACGTCATATTCGGGTACGCGTTGATTGGTCGGTTCTGATTCGGGTGCAATCGGTAATTAATGGTTATCGGTCGTAATTTATCATGGCGTCCATGGCGTAGTGCACGTTGTCATCGGTAGAAGTTAATGTTAAAAATATTTTCACGATGACCTGCATAGTGAAAGGATGCGGCAATTATATGAAAAAAACAAAAAAAACTGAGGGAAGTAAAATTAAATATTTTACCTTTCTAAAACAATCTGAAATTGCTGAACAGTGGCGTAAGCCACTCGTTGTGACGTAAGCAAGGACAAAAATCTGATTGGTCATGCGCATGAGCATACCCTTGTCTTTTTATCATGGATGTACAGACAGTAATGCTTGGGTTCGGGGCGGCTACGCCGCCCCGAACAAAATATAAATATCATATTCTACCCGCTTGGGGCCTAACCGCCTAGAAGTTACACCATAGACAGTGTCCGCTTGGAATGTTTCTAACCCATGAAGACAGTGGGGTGTGAGAACGATTTTTTTACTGTCTAGTTAAAAAGACTGTTCTCGCACACCCCACTGTCTACATGGATTAGAAATATTCCAAGCGGACACTGTCTACACTGTAACTTCTAGGCGGTTAGGCCCCAAGCGGGTAGGATATGATATTTATATTTTGTTCGGGGCGGCGTAGCCGCCCCGAACCCAAGCATTACTGTCTATACATCCCACTGTCTACCTGGGTTACAAATATTCCAAGCGGACACTGTCTACGCTGTAACTTCTAGGCGGTTAGGCCCCCAGCGGGTAGGATATGATATTTATATTTTGTTCGGGCGGCGTAGCCGCCCGAACCCAAGCATTACTGTCTACACACCCCACTGTCTACATGGGTTACAAATATTACAAGCGGACACTGTCTAAGCACTACTACATACGTTTAATTTATTACATATAGTCGGTATGACAGGTTTCCTAACCTCCATAGTCGTCAAATTTAACGCTAAATATCTCGGTTCGCGAGACAGAGCGACACTTTTTTCTGCCAGATTCTTTCGTTTCATGCAAAAACGCGTCGAATGAGCCTAATTTTATCGAAATCGGAGGTGAGGGAGGTATTCTGAATAATTACCCAAAATATTTTTATATGTAAGCTTACTATCATTTATATATTTTTATCGTTTTATTATTCGTCGTATACTCTCGCGCTATTTGTACAAGGTCTATTTTCTGTAGCTGAACTAGTGCTTGCACTGCTTGTATTGTACTAACTCCAGACAATCCAGTGGTCTGTTTTCTGTGTTCCTGCACTAAACTGCATTAATACTCGTATTCATAGTCCTTCCTTGAGGAATGAGAATTCCTTTGTTCTTCATGTTTCATAAACCTTCCTTGACCAAACAAGAAGCCTTATTAGTTTCCTTTTCTCAAGGGAGGTTACGAGTTTCCTTGAGGAGGAGATGCAGCCTTCATAACCAAGCAAACCTCCAAATTTAATTCGTCACACCAGTCTTTTTACTTTCGGTAGCTTTTAATTTAGATCTGTCGATAATTATTTTCGATAGCTTTTTTTCGGAAATAAACTGCACCAAAAGTATTTTCTCCTTCTTCATATAATAAGCATTATGACGAATTCGATTGGAAGCACCGATGCATATTAAAGCCGTTGTATACTGATTTAATTTGAGTATAAAAATAAAATGCAAATATTTCGAATTATAAAATATATGTTTTACCTAGCAGTACAATAAAATGTATTGAGTATTTCATAATTTAATCGATTTCTGTGTTTATTTATAAACATAAATTTACGTTATTTTGTGTATGTACGGCGGTTTTAATGTGCATCAGTGCGCAATCAAATTCGCTATTAGTTTTATTTTTGTCCATTATTGTTGCAAAATGTTTAATCACGACCTTATTTAATCAACAATGCCTTTATAACTTTTATTATTCGTAATTCACGATATTAAGTATGCATACATATACTGTATGTATATTATGACATGCTATCCTCAGTAGATTATTAAAATCCCTAAAATATTCCTTCCTTCAGGAAAGCAGACTTGAGATCCGTTTATGAAACAAGGAAACCTTGGAGACTCGAGGAATCCTTCATGGAGACTTCCTTAAAAGAAGGAAGGACTATGAATACGGGTGTAAAACTCTTTCTCGCTTTCGACAAATATCATTATTATCAAACATGTACTTTTCTCACTTAAGTTCCAAAAGTGTACACTTTCAGCCATAGAAAACAAACCATATGCAGAGAGGAACCTCTCTGCCATATGGTGAATTAATGCACTCTGATGAACTAATGCACTGAGTTCTGTTGCACTAGAACAAAAGACAGTGTCGTTGACATCATTTTGGAAACAGAAAACGCTTTATGCTGGATTCACACTGCATCCGATTTTCGTTGTACGACGCTCTGCAACCAATCAGAAAACAGGATTCCGATGGATTTTGCTTCGTATCATCGGAATTCTGTTTTCTGATTAGTTGAAGAACGTCGTACGACGAAAATCGGATACAATGTGAATCCAGCATTAGTGTACACTTTTTTAACTAGTGCAACCACTACAACCAGTGCAGAAATAGAAAACAAATCTTTAGTTCGTTAAAATATAATGGATATTGTTCGCGCAACAAAGGAACATCAGAATTAATTTATTGTATATTTGTTAGCTGCTTGCTAAAAATCTTTGATATGCGATATTGCTTTCTCGTAATAAATAATTATCACAATACAGAAGATAAAATAATTCCATCATATTTTTTCGATAGCATTGCTTCGGTATCTATGAAAAATTACAAAAAAATACATATGTTGCATTTTATCTTTCATTTTTCTAAATTCGCAGTGATAATAAATAGTACTTGCAGCATTCCGATTCGCGTACGGAATATAAAGAACAGTACGATTCACTCTTTGACTTCATCCTTATCATTTAATTTCTCCGCTCTTCGACGCGCTTTTTCTAAAATTTGCTTGAGTTCTGACGATCGGGCGGTTTTATACTAAAAAAAAAATCGAAAAGTATAAACACACACACACACATTGTAGAGTTTTTTCTTTAAAGTATAGGTACTTACTTCACATTCGTTTTTCGCTAAAGTTAATTGACCATTGAGCCTACTTCCCTCGGATAATCCACATAATTGCTCCAATCGCCGTCGTGATAAATTGAACAATTCTGTGCCATTTGTATTTTCCAACTGTTTGCAAATTCTGCAATAAATAAGATATACTTGTATTGAATGGTGAATAAATTACTAGTTCTGTTATATTACGATTATATGCACTTTTGCGAGAATCCTTTGGCTTCTAACCAAGTTTGAACTTGTTGAGGAGTCGAATGTTGATTCAACCAAATTTCTTGCGTGTTGTTATTAATAGACGAATTTGCTTTTTTCTCTCGAAATATTCTGAGGACGAACTTAAGCTCCTTTTGAACTTCTTCTTGACTGGAGAAACCTTTTGAAAGCATGTGCCACAAATACATCCAATATATAAATGATAATTGCTAATTATAAAAACTTTTATTTATTTATATAGTTGTTTTTGTATAGTTCATCCTGTTATAAGTAGTCTGGTTTTAACAAATATAAAAGGGATTATTAAAATAAATCAATTTTTTATTAATATCTGAAGCTATACACTCACCATTGGAGAAGTTATTATTTTTGAAAGTTCCCACTTTATTAAGCATAAGAGTTGACGGTAAAGATTTTTGGGGTTGAAGTAATGAGATAGATCCTATTGGTATTGACGGCGGCGGTAGTGGAAGTGGTGGAGGCATCGGAGGTATCGTCGATGAGTTTAATGCCGGTGTAGATGATACTGGTGCTGATTTTACAGCAAATGATACTGATATTGATTTTACTGAAGATAATACGGGTGCAGATTTCAATACAGATAGTGTTGGCGCTGATTTCGATGTAGATAATATTGGTGCTGATTTCGATTCAGGTAGGATTGGCGTCGATTTCGACGTGAATAGTTCTGTTGGTGGTAGTGTCGCGGTCGGTGTGATGGTAGACGGTATAATTAGCTTGTCGGGTATTATATCTAGTATTATATCATGAGGTGGCGAGTGCACTTCCACGATGCTTTGTTGCGTATTAAACTTTCCGTTCGACTGAGAGATGCTCTCGATGGAAGATGTACTAGATCTATTGCTATTACTGATGGTTCCGTTGTATGCACTAATGTCATCTATAAAACAATTTTGCAAGATTAATTTGCATTAATTATCCTTGAAAGAGATGAGAAATTATTTATCGCATAAGTATTTGATTTATTCATTGATAAATCATAATGCATGCCACAATATGGACAAGCTATTATAAAATACGTGAAAAGGCTATAACTTACCCCAAAGCTTTCACATAAACTACACAGAATCTTAAGTGTACTGGACAAACACTAAGCATATATATATTTTAAGCGCTATAACAATATATCTTAGATTCTTCGGTACGAAATTTAATTTCTACTAATTCTCAAGATAATAAATCACCGTTCATCATGTGGTATGTGCATGTCTGTTACACAAGTTGTGAATTATTTAACACTACACTAAACAATATATCTTTGAATAAAACAATTTACAATTATATCTAACAGTCGTTACGATTCGCAGGAAACAAGAGGAATAATGAGGACAACGACGATAATCTCGTATAAGTACAATGTTTATTAATAATAAGTGATGTGCACATAAAAAATTACAGTATACTGAAATACTGACGGATCGCATTCCCGGCCCATGGACACACATCATAAATGTTAAAATAATACATGAATCGATCGCGGAAAAAAGATAGGAGATAGCACGTAATCGTTTACGTTTTTTATTTTTACACATCGTAAATTCTCACGAAAAATATGTCGCGTTTCTAGGTTACCATATTGTAAAGAGCATTTTTATGATATAACATCACAATCTAACAATAAATAAAGGAATATGAAGAGAATGCATCTGTAACAGAGAAAGAATAACAAGAGCTTTTACTACTTGTCCACGTTTATTATATTGCTTATTTGACTTCTTGGTCGACTAGTTATTATCTCTGTTTAACACTTTGATGTGGCTTTAAATATATGACAATAAATAATGCAAGTTGCAAAAAAAGTAATAATAGCATCAATTTTGTATTTTCTGCTTGTACCTTTCCTGTTATTCTTCGACAGTGAATTAAATTTAGAGATTTAGAAACGTATCGAGAGAAGCTATGATCCTGATTACTTAACGAAATTAATATCAATTATATGAAGACCGATTAGATCTCATTCGCTAATTTCTCGTATTTCTCATATTTTTAAACTTTATGAAAATTTATCATATATATGTATATATCTTTTTTCTCTCAATCTTCTTACAGCTTCCTTTTCCCTCGTATTCCCTTCGGTCGTTTTTGTACAAGCTTATTTACATCAATACATACATAATGCATGCGACAATGACACGTACAAGCAGGACCGGCAAAAAGATTTGCTACGTCAATAAAAGCTGTTGATAAAACAGAGATGAACGAGACAACGTGTTGTAGTATTAGAAAAGCCACATTTTCCTTTCCTGCATATTCTCCCAGATAATGTAATTCTTATCAAGAGCTTTTATCGAAGTCGTAGAATTTTTTCTCGCAATGAAGCCCCAGTATACGGACAAAGGACAAACATAATTTATAATTTCAACGGAAATATACATATATCTAATGTAGATATTATATCGTCCCGACTAATTTGACCGTTTACATATACGCGCATATGATACTTACAATTAGATTATTTCACACTCCGTATAACTTGCATTGCTTTACTGAGTACTTTTTAACGGAAGAAAATATCCGATCTTAGCGGGAATTAACACCCGATATCGTAACATTTTCATATATAAAGTAATAAGTATAATATATAATATGTATATATCGATTTTGCTTTCTTTCGTTGTAAACTACACAGCTAAATTTGGTTAGTCGATAAATACAAAAGATAACATATAGTATATGTGACAATACAATTGATTATCAGAAATATAGCATTAGAAACTAGTTGGTAACTTTCAACCACGTTAAATGCTGGACGATTGTCATTACCGATTTTTTTCATTTAATCAAACGTGTTACGAGATTCGTACAATTCAATACTTTTATGTGTGGTTGATAGTCACTGCTACCCGATAGCTAATAGATTTCATTATTGAACGGCTTATTAATTAATTTCACACTAAACGTGGTCCCAAAATCTTCACTTTTATTTAAAGTGTCCGACAAATACGTCACATTGCGTCGGAAAGTTAGTTCCCCTCGATATCTTTGCTATCACCATTGCGCTTTCGTTTCTGATTGCCATTAATTATAATGTCTGTATCTGTGATAACACTACATCTGTGATAATGATAAAGGAAAATCAATAAAATAATCAATATGAGAAAAAATTTCTTATAAATATATAGTCATATCACATAAAATGAATTATTCATTTATGTATTTACAACTATCTTTTTCATATTTATTAAACAATGACTGTGCAATTTGCTGCAACGTTGTATGTAGGTATGCAAGACAGAGACAGACAATGGTTTTGTAATGCAAAGATACGAGAGCAATATACTCGTATGTAAAAAAAAACGAAATTTACTGGTGTCACTCTATGAATGATCAATATATCAGAACAATTGCGAAAAACTTAGAATACTACGTCCTCATTGCAAACGTTTGAATGGCTCACACTGTCTACGCTCACATATGTACATGTTCAAAAGAAAATCATCAGATATTAAGTACAATATCCCTTCACAAGTGTGCTAATTGAAGTACTAATTGAACGATGATCTAACGATTAATTATGCTACAGTCCGTTCATAGCTAGGCTAACGTGATGCACGTACTCTTATCTCTTGTATATTAGCTTTGTTGGATTAATATATTGACTTTAATGTCGCGATAATGTCAAGACAGCGTTTCTTTCGATTTTGGAAGACATTCGTTAATGCTAAAAAAATCTTATTTATAACATAATATAAGAGGCGATGAAAAATCTGAAATTTATAGCTTGATACTTTTCCTAATTATCAGAAACTGCTCAAATTAGATTAAAAATAACAGACATTCAAGCGCGAGCTGGATAAATGACTTAAAAGTACCGAAATTCACCTTTTTTCCCAAGTCTTTCCTTTCTCACCCAATCAGCAGGCGCTGGCGGTGGAATCGCATGTGTTCGATGAGTGGCTTCCGGACCTGGACTAGTGCTGGTTCTCTCAATCTCCGAATCCTTTAACATGTAATCAAATCTATTACATATTAAAAATACGTGAAATTTATAATTAATTTAATAACCCACACTATACCAATACTCTCAATTCTTAATTATATGTCTTCAGGGAGTGAATTTAGATCTGTCTTTTGCAATGTATAAAGCACGCTGCGGTACATTCCAATGTAAGCTCGTAATAATTTGATTAAAATGCAACGTCAATACATTAAGGTTTCCGACTCGTCACTGCAGTCATATTGCAGTTGTATACATATATGTTGCCTAATTATACTATTATATTACATAATACATAACAATCCAACATAATTGTGTTCTTACTTTTTCATGCAACTATCTACAAACATATTCACATCTCTTTAATAACTCTCACCTCATAATTATAGCCGTGTCCCTGTCTTGGATATCTACTGGTGTATAGAGGATTGTTAAAGACATCATTGTCAGTAGAATGAGTAGTGGGGTTGTGCGGCGTAACGATGGTGTGTGGCACGTGAGCGACCTGCCCTCGGGAGTTCCTCGCTTTCCACCATTTCCTGCTATCGTCAAGAATCTCCAGATATTCGCCTCTGACTACCGTGAGCTCCTTGTCATTGTTCGCCGTTCGTGGATAAGTGACTTGCACGATTTTAGCGTGGCGTGCTACCAATTCATCCAACCAAGCCTCCTGTGCTCTCTCTATACCAGCGGCTGTTCTGGGAGCTCTCTCGATCGAGTCGACGGAAATGTCACTATGCGCCCTGGTCTGATCAGCTCTTTCCTCACGGCCATACAATTCTGAGCTCGGCCCATAATTCCTATCAAAGTATTCGTTACCACCACGTTCCTCTCGGCTCTCGTACTCTAGATAATCGCTGCTATAATGCGATTCATCCATGTCGCGATGATTGTAATAAGGATCATTCTGTTGTTCTGGTAACTCATCCCTCTTTTGTTTATCCGCGTTCAATAAGGACGCTAAATGATCGTGATCCCTATCTTCGGGAATAGGATACTCTGGTGACCAGCCGTCCATAAAGATCGGATGATATGGCGGTACATGTACTTTCCATTGATCACGCGGTATCAACCACGTGTCACCCAGTGAATGCCATAACTCGGTCTCTTTGCTGGTGACGCAATTTATCAACAAATTGACCGCTTCTCGCGTGAGAAGCGGCGACACCACTTTACTAGGTAAATTCGGATCGTAATTAGTATCGTGAGAGGCGTCCACGATGAGCGCGAGCGGCGTGAAGAGAAAATGTACAAGTTCTGGCGCATTGGGATCGTGGATATGCGCCTTGAGCTTGGCTAGAAGATTGAACGAAAGCTTAAACTTCTGAAAGATATCAATGAACTCTATCTCGGGCGGCGGCTTTGCTCTCATCGTGAGCATACCATCGCCGAGGTTTCTCTTCTTTGACTTCCGATTACGTCGTCGGCGCTCTAGCTCCCGAGACGCGGCAGCTGCATGCTGCAGACGCGCAATGAACTTTTCGATGTCGTCAAAGCAGTGATTTAGGATCGTCACGTCACGCTCATATTTCTCCGACGACGTTGATGATACCTCGTCGTTGTTCTCCTCTCGCGACATATCATTCTGCCCATCTGCTATATTACATTTACACACAGATGTATTCAATATACTAGTGTTATATAATGTTATTATATTCTGTTCAAGAACCGCGAACTTTTTTCAATTATATTAAATAGAATAAAGCTTCAATTGTGTATTAAATGGAGCACAAACATCATTATTGCGCAAATTTTTATAAATTTTCTACTTGTATTCACAATTGTATTTCAAATTAATGATAAAAATTTGTCTAAACATGCATGATTTCCAATAGAAAATATTACTTTGTTACAACTGCGTACTCACCATTCGCCGCATTGAAAGCAGACACCTGTTCCCTAACATTAACGCCGTTCAAGGGTGGTTCCGGGGGTGGTAAGGCAGGTGGTGGTGGAATGTGCCCTCTAGGACCCCGGGGCGAGCCACCCGTGACCAATTTTCCCATTTGCAGCATTTTGAGGTCCTCGACGAGGTCCTGTGCCGACACACTTTGACATTGAAATATGTGCATCTCCGCTCGCTGGTTGGAACCACTATCGTCAGCCACCGTGAACACTAAAATGTTGTTGTACATCTCCATAGGATCTCTCGACGTAAATGCCGTTGGTTCCTGTATCAAGGAAGCAGGAAATCGTTCCATAATGGCCTGAAATTGACAATTATATATTGTTAGATGAAATTATCGTTAATATAGATACGTAGTAATTTTTTGAACACGCATACAATCTATATAATATTTTCTTGATAGATCTAACATGACAGATCGACACGTTGATATTTAAATAAATCATTCTCGGCCATATCGAACAATTAATTTCGTTTACAATGTCACTTTATTATAGCCTCAAAGATAGTAGTTTTTTTATATTGAGACTCGAAAATGTGATAAAATATAAGCATCGCAATGTTCCGCAGACATGTCCTCCGAGTGCTCCGTGTATTTACGGTAGAACGTGGTTACAGCTGTGTAAAAAAGAAGTAAAAATTACCCCTGTTTCGTTGTCCATGATGAGGACCCAGTTTCGCTCAAGACGGAGCTGCATTTTTTGACTCCAGATGCCATTACTTTTCTCCAACTGTAAGAGGCGGCGCATACCATCCGCCGGATAAACAATACCGGTTTCCTTCGTGACGGTGAACGTGGCCAAGTGCTCCATCATATATGTCGGCTCCGAACTGCTGGCGCGACCGCCAGAAGTGCTCGACGGTCCACT